CTCCGCCTCCTGCTCCGCCCCCTTGGTGATCCTCCTGCTGCTCCTCCTGCTGATCAGCTTCCAGTGTTGAAGCCGCCTGCGCCTAATTCATGGGTGAAGCCAGCAAGCCTTACTTACATTTTTGAGAATCGAGGAGGAGGGCAGCTTTATTTTGTTATTTAAATTTGCCGCGCAACAAGACAAATTCAAATCTGCTATTAGTATAGAAGATAATTTACATGCATACATATATAGGCTCATACATACATACGCACATACATATTTACGCACATACATACATACGCACATACATACATAATTACATAGATACATTATTACATTCATACATTATTTGTATTCACACATGCAGGCATATAAACATATGTATATACACATGCATACATACATACATACATACATACATATATGTGATACAAAATCGATTTGGCATCTAAATCTGGCAACATTTTTCGTAGTCAGAATTCATTGAACATAGGTAAAAATTTCCCAATCCCATAGCTTGATCAAATCTCATCAGATTGGCACGAGGCCTGACTTTTTGTGCATGGTTCGGCCTCTGGATAAAGCTGGCAAAATTCTTCTAGTTATAATACGTATATAACTAGACCCATAAAGTCGCAATCAAAGGCAATAATGGGCCATATGTAAGAGTCAATCCCCATAAAATGAACGTTGCCTAGTTGCCTTTGGGACTCGGCTGTAAGTGGTTGGGAATTGGAAATGAAAACACAATTTGCAATTGGAATGCTGTAAAAAATATACATGTACACACACATACATATGTATATATGCAAGCATCCAGCGCCCATGCGTGCATATATGCATATGTACATATATATAGATCGGTTGTATATATCAGTTTTATTAAGTCTTCTTCTTTAGCAAGCTGCGCGCCGTAGTCCTTCGTATGGCATTCATTTTGAACTATGCAATGTATTTTCGTTTCTCTTTTTGTTCTGTTCTTTTTTTTTTTTAATTATTTCTGTTTTTGATTTAAATTTTGCATTTTGCAATTAGCTCTCTTTTCTCTCAAAATTGGTTTTTGTTTATTTCTTTTTGTTTTGTATTTTTTTTTTTTTTTTGTTTTTGTACGTTTTTTCATCGCGTTTTTTTGTACAGAATTTCGTGCTGAAAGAAAATTAGTTTATGGTTTGGTTTTGCTTTTGTTTTATGGCGTAAATTTAACATTAACTTAATGGCAACGGGTGCGAACGAGACGGAGACAGCCCAGCCACAGACTAGAGTAGCCAAGCGTTAGCCAAGTGCCAGAAGAGGGAAAGAGATAGTCGACGCTCGCATTGGCCAGACTACAAACTTTTGAGGTTAGGTTAATATTCTTATCATTTGCATAAATGTTGAAAAGGCAAAAAACAAAAAAAAAAAAATAAAAAGCTTGTATATGGAATGGTTTGAGTGGGCGCGGCTTGTACAACAATTAAACAAATCAAGTCAGTAACAAAATATAACAAATTAAATAAATACGACTAAGTTATTAGCTAGACTAGTTAGGCTCTACAAATCGTAGACACATAATCTTAAATAATAAATATGTATATATATAAATATCTATATATCTATATGTACGTTTAATTGTGCACACAACGAATATACCAAGTTTATAACAATTTCTTCGTGTTTGCATTGTTTTGTGTAGTACACATGTATATAAGAATTTCAATTTTCCCAATTGGATCAAGAAAATGGCTGCTACTGTTTCGAGGTTATGTCACCCGAAAGCCAAATCGAAATCGAAATCGTTTTCGAAAATGAGTTTTTGATGCGTTAAAGAGAATTATTCGATGTGAATATATATATGCGGCTGATTTACAATTATTCGAAATGTGTTTGAGCATCATAAATGGCAAAAAAAAAAAAAAAAAAAATAATAATAGAGGAGAAATATAGAATAGAAATGGATAAAAAAAAAATGATTAAATCTACTTACACATAATATCAACTAGATTTGTTTTTGCTTATCACATTTATGTGTGTGTGCACCTTTCAATTGTAACTATGGACAACACATAATTTACCATTTAAATAGATATAGTGTATGTGTGTGTGTGTGAGTGTGTGTGTGTGTGTATGGAACTTGTGTGTGTTGTGAATGGATGTGCGGAATTTGAGTTCTTATAAAGCAACGTATTTGGTTTTTTAAGTTTTTGTTGTGCTTAGTTTCTAGTTTTGTTTTTGTTTCGCTTAAGAAATAATAAAAAAAGTATACTGTACGAAACGTGTGAGATTTAAACAATTATAACTAACGCATATGGAATTGTTAACGTAATTAAGAACAATCATAATCATAATTCAAATATATCAAAATTAATCACAGACTCGTTTGGTTTACTTGGAATACTAAAGTCTCCTCAACGATATCAACGAGTGTTTTTTTTTCGGAATTCGTTTCTTTTACTCGTTAGTTTTTCGTTTCGTTTCGTTTTTTTGGTTTGCTTTGTTTTGTTTTTGTAAAGGAATTATCTATATACAGGCTTGTTTTAAGGTAATAGGTATATTATATATATATATGCAATATACTTTCGTTTTTATTAGTTCATAATTTCTATATATATATATATATATATATATAAATATATATATATTTGTTTTTATAGTATGTGTGTAGTGTATTATTGAATATTTATAAGACTTGTGTTTTACTAACACACACACACACACACGCTGACACTACTTGTATGCGGTATTTAGGATATTTTAGATTTGAACATTTTATAAATTCACAAAAAAAAAAAAAACACACACATACACATTCATGAAGCACACAAGTTGCATGCAATCAATCAGTTATGTTTTTTCTTCTTCTTCTTCTTTAAAGCCTTACAATAGATCTATATATATATATATCTGGGCAAATCTGCGCAATTTTCGCTTCACTTAAGCTAAAACAAAAAAAAAGTGTTAAACATGTTGAGAATATTTCTCACAGCTATAAATATTAGTATAAATTAAGTATTTTTGTATATATTTAAGATTTGCCTGGGCTTTTGCTTGCTCTTACACAATTTCTAAGCTTATATAAATCTCAAGACTTTAATATATATATAATATTTCAAATACAATATATATATTTATATATATATATACATGTATATATATATAAATATGTATAAATATATATTTTAATAATTGTTATTTAAATATTGTTTTCAGTTTAGCTTAAATTAAATGTAATTAAATCTCTTTTAGCTTAAAACTAGTTTTTAGATTATTTTCTTTGCTTTCATTTAACTAATTATACAGTTTATCTTTAGTTAATTGCATTAAAATTGAAATAAAATTGTTTTCGTATTGATTTTGTTTGGTTTTTGAAATTTAAATTTGCAATTATTTAAGAATTTTCTTGTCTTTCTATATGATATCGATATTATCTTTGTGTAATTTTTTTCTCTATGGCTTTGCAGGCGCCACATACACATACACACACTGACACACACACACACACATACACACACGTGTATGTGTGCGTGTGTGTTGCATGAACAATAACTTAATATTATTTATAGCCCTATGTATATATAATTATGCATGTATCTTTAAGTATGTCTATTTTTCATTAATTTTATTGATTTTTTGCATTTCTCGTTTTCGGATTGGTTTTTCTTTTTTCCAGGAACAGAAAAAACTGCATTATATTGCGGTTCTAACGGATTTCCCTAACTTTTAACAGGCCATTATGGTAATGCTTTTTTGTGCTCCGCAGTTTTGGAGACACATATTTTTTCATATCTTTTGTTTTTCTTGTTTGTTTTTTTTTGTTTTTTTTTTTTTTTTTTTGTGTTTTAATATGGATTATTATGGAGGCCACAACATGACAGCAAAAAGGGAGCAGGAACCGACGTACAAATACAAATACAAAATACAAAATACAAAAAAAAAAATAACACAAACAAACATGAGCACAGACACAATTTTGAGTAGGTTCAGGAAAACAAATCGAATGAAATAAAAATCAAATAAAAAGTGTACACTTTAAGAAACTCATATCATCTATTGCTAATATTTTGTTGATTTATATAGCTAGAAAAAAAATAAAAAAAAAAGTATAGAAATAGATAGTTAAAGAAAAGTTAAACATAATATTCGCTTGTTGCGTCTGGTCATATAAAATCTTTACGTGACTTAAGACTAGTTTATATGTCTATATGTATATATGCATATAATATATCTTAACTCTAGTTATCTATATAGATTATACAGTTGTTAATGGATAGTTATTTGTATAGTCATGCAACTAAATATTTATATTTGTGTCTCTGTGTGTCTGTATGTGTGTGTGTGTGTGTGTGCGCGTGTGTGTGTGTATCTGTCCAGTTGCGGCGCTTGAAGCGCGCGAATTATATAATTAATAATTAAATTAGTCTATTGTATGATATAATAATTATTTTTAAATTAAATTAAATACAAATACAAGTTTCGTGGCATGGGCGTGGTCGTTATCAAGTTGGGCTTTTGAGATATCCGAGGGTTAACAATTAAATGTCAATTTATTAATATATATATATATATATATGTATATATTTATGGTATACATATATATAAGTATTTAGTGTAGAGATGCGCATCATTTAGTCCTAGCTTTTGTGTTTTTCTTTTGTACAGTTACAGTTAAGTTTATGCCTAATGCTAATGCTATACATACACATATATGTATATCAGATATATATATATATTCGTATATATATATATATATATATATATATATATTCGTTAATCGCTATCGTCAACACATCATCGTATTCAGTTAATAATTACTAATATAATTGTTTTGTTTTGTTTATAATCAAGCAGTTAATAATTTTACTTAGGCCTAACATTTTCTGTTCCGTTTTTCCTGCTGCGACGCTTCTGCAAATCAGATTTTCCCTTCGCTTTTTCTCTTCTCTTGTTTTCTTTTAATAATGCTTCTTGTGTGTGTGTGTGTGTGTGGGTGTATGGGTGTGCATGTGTGTGTATATATATACAATTATAATTAAAAGGTGTTGTATGAAAAATACGTATAGCCAATTAGCTGTTGTTTTTGTTGGGATTAAACATTAAGAAAGAACATAAATAAATCTGCGCTTAGTCTAAGCCTCGCCACGCCTCGCCTCGCCACGACAGATCGCCGCTGCAGCAGCCTCTGGCCGGCAGTCGCCGCCGCTGTCTCGCTTGATCCGCTGCAGATGACACTTCATCTACATCTTTATCTTAACATACATATCATCTTTTATATATATGTCGTCTATCTATATAAGTATATATATGATTAATACGGATTGGCGCTTAGGGCGCTTTACGGATTAGTTCCTCGAGGCGTCGTCGCTGCCGCCGAGTAGACTACTGCTGCTGCTGCGGCTTAATCATGCTTGAGGACAATTCGCGTTGGCGCTTTGCTGCGTTGTTTGCCGCCGCTGCCGCTGCCTCCGCCAGTTGAAGCCTGTCGCTTTTCCAAACGATCAAAGATGCCGCCACCAGCTCCAGACTGTCCAGCGCTGCTGCTGCTGCCGCCGCCCTTGCGCTGCGTTAGCTGCTGCTCCTCGCGCTGGCGACGCTCTCGTTGCCTGTTGCCGCTGCTGCTGTGCGAGGATTGCTGTTCGGAGCCGCCGCTGCCACCGCTGCTGCCATTGCTGGAGGTCGGCTTAAGGACCACACGCCGTTGGCCGGGACCAAAGCTGGCACCCGATGCTGACGTCGCGCCGCTACTGCGCACAATTTTGTGATTGCGCTTGACCACCAGCAGCTCCGGTGTGGCGGACCGCTTAATGGCATGCAACAGCGGCGGTGGCGGCGATGGCGTGGCCAACAGCCGATCCTCCTCCTCCTCCAGCAGCAGACCATCATCGTCGTAGTCCAGCTCCACCTCATCGTCGCTGGGCGTGCCCAGGCGCAGCATGCCCTTATTGGCGCTGCTGCTGCTGCTGCTTGTGGGCGGTGTGCCGCCAGCGGCTCGACCTGACATCGCTGCTCCAGCTAGCTGCGCCTGCTGCTGCTGCTGATGCTGCTGTTGCTGCTGTTTGCTCGAGGGCGCCAAATGATCGGTTATGCTGCGCTTCGCCTCCGGAGCTATCTTTGCCGCCGTTAGCTGTTTGCGTCCCGTACCTGGCTGCTGCTGCTGTTGCACTTGCTGCAACTGGTGCCGGCTGCTGCGGCCGGTGCTCGGCTCGGAGTCATCGCGACGCTTCAGTGAGATAACCTTGCGCTCGCTGCCCAGCGCTGCCTGGCGCTGTTTTTGTGCGCTGCTGGGCGCTGTGCTCGCCGCCGCCTGTCCACTGGCTGCCTCTTGATCCTCACGTGGGGCCGGACTGTGCTGCTCGGCGCGCTTTTCCTGCAAGGCGATTGATTAATGCTTTATATAAGATCCGCCAGATTTGATGGAATTGTGTAATTAGAAGCTAGTTTCCGTTCGATTTTGCAATAAATACACAAATATATCCATAAAACAAGCAAGAATGTGCTAGTTAAGACAAATATTAGAAGCATAATTTTTGATTTAAAGCTTGTTTCAAATCAATTTCTGTTCAGGATTGATTCCTTTATCACGTTATCTTTTACAAGCCGACATTTTCTAGCCAACTTCCCAAATTTAAACTGCTCCAAATGTAAGGTGCTGACTTTCTCTGGAAGCTCTCCTGAATTGGTTTCTTACATCCTTATCTAGGTGTCAGTCTTGGTCATAAACATCGATTCGACTCTCATCATGTTTAGGCCAGAATTGGTTTGGGTTGCATCAAGCGATGGTCCATGGAGTTTGACGATCCGTTACACGACAAAGATCCTTTATAAATCTTTGATACGTCTCCTATACCTGAGTATGCCTCATGTATCCGCACACACAATAGTATTCTATCTATCAAGACTGAAGTGAATCCGTACAGATTGAGATCCTCGTGTGCGGTTACCTCCAGTCATACTTCAGCAGACTTCTAATGATTAATCTTTCTTCCTCAATTAATCGTAGAGCCATGCTTGGTGTAATATTTATTGATAAACCAATAACTAGTGCAATCGACTGCCTACTGTTCAGGATTCTCTGTGATGATTATTACAAGCATTACAGAGTATCCTGTTCAGAGAGAGGCTTCTCGTGTGGAAAATTGAGAGAAAAGGAAAAGAAATATGGATGTGCGCTCACCTCATGCAGTTTCTCCTCGGCGGCGCGTCGCCGTTTCAGCTCCTTGTCACGCATGATCTTCTCGCGCAGCTGCTTCTGCTTCTCGATCTCGAGGCGATATGCGCGCGTCTCCTCATCCTCGTCGCTGGGCTGTAAATTGCGTAGCATGTGAGCGCAAGCCGAACAGAAATAAGCTTACATTTTAAGCCAAGCACTTACCAAAATGCGACTGCCACTGGCGGTGCTCTCTGCGGGCCGATTGCGCGGCTCGCCCGAAAAGGGATTGCGCGGCGCATTTGGTGAGCCGCTGCGACGGCGTTTTGGCGCTGCGGCACCGGTTCCACCGCGATTCTCATCGCGCTCTCTGCTGGCGGCGCGTCGATAGCCACGATTGCCGCCGCCGGCTGCTGGACGTGTTCCACCGCTGCTTCCACCTCCGCCGCCTCCTCCTCCGCCAGCGCCTCCGCTACCGCCACCATAGCGATCACGTTCCCGATCTCGTTCCCTCTCACGCTCACGTTCACGTTCACGCTCTCGCTCCCTCTCACGCTCCCTATCCCGCTCCCTATCGCGATCCCGTTCACGTTCGCGCTCAGTGCGCTTCAGAGAGGACGGCAACGGTGAGTAGCTGCGTCCCCGCGAACGGCTGCGTGTGCGACTGCGCCGTCGCTCGCCCTGCGCTCCAGACAAAGCCGCCGATGAGTTGGAACTGGGCGGCGGCGGTGAGCGTTCCATGCGACGCTTCTCAAAGTACTGGCGATTCTTGTTGATGAACTCCTCTTGCTGGCGCAGCAGTTCCGCATCGCTATTAATGGCCGGCACAAAGTGCGTCTCCTTGATAAACTTGTTGGTTGCCGCCTCGACGCCGCCCTTGAAGTTCGGATTGATCAGCACCTTGCTGACGACGCCCCGCGGTACCGCTGAGGGAGGCACCGATTGATGCTGCTGATGCTGTTGTTGCTGCTGCTGCTGGGAGCCAGGACCGCCAGGCACTGCGGCCTGTGCCGCTGCCTGTTGTTGGGCTTGAGTGGGCGCGCCAGGCGGTCCAGGATTTGGCTGCTGCTGCTGTAGATGCGGGGGCGGAGCGCGCATATTCATGCCATTCATATAGCTGGGCCCGCTGGACATCAAATGCTGGGGCAATGCCTGCAACGGGGGCCGTGGCATGCGCGAGCCAGGCGCATCGCCCTGTGGCCGCCAGCCGTTATGCGGTCGCATATACTGACCGCCCAGATGCGGCTCATAGCCGGGCCCGGGTCCGCTCGGGCCAGGCCCAGGACCAGGACCAGAGCCTGGTCCATGCGGAGGTCCATAGCCAGGAGGCGGTGCATTACGATAGGGCGGCGGTGGACGCATCCCAGGCGAATGTGGCGCAACTGGCGGCGGATGTGGCCCCTGACCAAGCAGGGCGCCATTGCGATAACCGGCATTGCCATACGGCAATTGCAATGGCAATGGAGGCTGCAGAAGGCCCACGCGCACCTGGTCGTGCGGATGCGAATGCGAGTGCGGATGCGGCAATAGATGCGGTGGTGGCAAGCCGTTGGGACCGCCGCCGACATTATTGTTGTTGTTGTTGTTGTTGTTATTGTTATTATTATTATTGTTGTTGTTGTTGTTGTGGTTGTGTTGCTGGTGCAGCATATGAGGATTGTGTAGATGCGGGGATGGAGAGGGACCGGGACCGGGACCAGCGGTGGGAACAGGACCTGCATTGTTTGTGTTGTATGGCGACTGTTGTTGTTGCTGCTGTTGCTGTTGTTGTTGTTGTTGTGTGGGTGTTGACGGTGGTTGTGGTGGTGCATATTGGCCTGGAATGAATGCAGTTTTGTTCTGTGTTAGTGGTTGTTGTTGTTGTTGCTGCTGTTGCATAGCGCTCGGCGTCAACTGATGATGGCTATTTAGAGGCGTGGCCGTGGCCAAAATGCAAGCAGCCACCGGCGTTGCAACCACACCTGGCGGTGCCGCCATCAATGTGGCCATATGTGCATGTGCATGTGCATGAGCATGTGCATTACCCGGCGGTATCAGGAAACGGGCCATCGGCATGGCGCCCAGCATACGCGGCGGATTGAACATGTGCGGTCCAGGATTGCGCAGCAGATGATGTCGTGCGCCCATCACGCGCTTATTATTATTCTGGTTCTGGTTATTGTTATTGTTGCTGTTGTTGTTGCCTGCCATAAAGCGAGGTCCGCCCGAGCCGCCCATGCGCGGTTTATCTAAAAGAGCAAACAAAGATGACATTAATAACAGAAACGAAGCCTTTTAGCCAGAATTGCCAATGACTAAATACTCTTGAAGCCACTTAGCCGATGTGTAGATACACATATTCTATGCCATCAACGGGCGAGTCGTGCATAACTGAGCTTCTACAAATGAATTTTGGAAAAATACTCTAGGCGGGCATTAGCCGGTTTTTTGGGTGCTATATTGATGTCATTATGCACGAGTAGAGCTGATCTTCAAATCAGACATCGATGGAATACCGAAAGAGGGTTAAACACAAATTACATTTCTTGAAGATTTCTCAAAAGGAGTTTTAAGTTCAACAATTCTCACCAATTTTTCATACATTTACATTTGGTAACTTCATTAGAAATTTCAGCTGCCTAGCACCGAGAGTCAATCGAATGGAAAAAAACAGTTTATAATCTACGAGGCGAATCATTAAAAAAACCTTTTCCTTAATTGTTACTATTCCAGCCATGTACATATCATATATGTAGAGATCAGAAGGAAGTGATCAATTCCAAACATGCTTAAGCCTCAAAATATATATATATATATATGTATATTCCTTTTGAACGGAAGCTAGGTAGAAAAGCTCGTCACTTGCTTGCCAAAACCGATCAACAGTTCACCTGGGACATGACACATCTTGTGGCAACACAATATGGCAAGGGTAAGTACACAAAGGCAATTGGCAAGATTTACCTGGTAGGCATTTACCTGGATGGTGTCGCCTTTGCATCTGTTGCTGCATTGAATGCTGTTGCTGTTGTTGCTGCTGCTTTTGGTTGTCGGAGCGTTCGCTGGCCGTTTTGAAATTGGTGCGCTCCTCGCGCTCGTCGTCGTCCTCGCGCGGATCGGCCAGCTCTGAGGCGGAGCTAGCGCTGGGCAAGCTCTCCTGCGAGGAGGCCAGCAGTGAGGAGAGCCCACCGTCAGGTGTTACGGCCTCGCCTATCTCTGGCTCCGGTTTCGGTACAGGCACCGGCAACGGCACCGGCACCGGTTCCGGCTTGTGCTCCACTTTGTTGGCAGCACTGCTGCCATTATTCACAGTCTGACTGCTGTCCGTTGCTGGCGTTGCGGCGGGCCTGTGCTCCGTCTCTGGCTTCCTAATCGCTTCGTGCCGCATTTGCTCACCGCCCGCTGATGCGGATGTGGATGTTGATGTTGCTCTTGGTGTGGCTGCAGCCAGTTCCGTGACCTGGAGCGCTGTTTCACTAGCAATTGGCTCTGGGCCTGTTTCGGCTGCAGTCACAACAGCAGCTCGCGTTTCTTTGGTTGCTGCCTGCAGCTCAGCAGCGGCATTTTCACTGCCAATTATATTCTCCTGCTGCTGCTGCTGCTGCTGGACTTTTGCTGCCGCCTGCTGTTCCTTGTGCTTGCGCAGCTGCTCCTGTGCCCATTCCTCGGCCTCGGCGCGCATCTGCTGCTTCACCTCGCTGGTCACATCCTTTTCAAGCTCTAGTCAACGAATACAAAACAGTCAAAACTAGGAACTAACAACACCTCGCCCACAAACACGCACGCACGCTGAATAACTTACCCTCATCGGAGAGCAGCAGCTCATCCTCGTCGGCGCCAAGCAGCGCCTGGTCATCAATGTCATCGCCCAGGCCTAACTCATAGTTGAGCAGATCGTCGCTGCAATGAGACAAATTAATCAAATTATATCGATTCTATAAACTTAAGTCTTTGCATTTAAAATTTCAACTGCCTCAGTTTTCAATATATTGTATGTATATTTCATTTGATTTGATTTCAGATTTCAGCTAAATTTAAATGAATTACAAGGTTTGCATTTGCTGAGCCAATTTGATGTGCTTCATTTTTCTTGAACTGCCAAAAAAATAACAAGAAAATAAACAGAAAATGTATCCAATGTCACAGTCAACATATAGTAATGAGTTTTATGCTGACAAATCATTGCACACAATAATCGATAATACTCTTTTTTTTTTGCTGCTTTATTGATATCCCTGTTATTTTGATAAAAATAGCTGCCAATGAAAAAATACGTGCGTATGAAAGAGTTGCTGATGCTAGTATAGAAATTGTCTTGGCGAAAGTCTCAAATTGATGTATGCACTGCGTATGTATGCTGGTTTTTGTATGTTTTTCATGGCATGCAGGTTCTACTGGGCTCTGCACCCACACGCAAGCCCACACACATACATATGTCCGCAGGCAAATACCTTGAAAATATGTGTATGCGTGTGTGTATGCAGTATGTATGTATGTATATGTATATGTATGTACATTTAAGTGCAATCAAAATGCTGCACATTTCACTTTCTGCAGTTGCAATAATTAAATAAGTCCGTAGCCTTTGACCTTGTATTTGTCACATTCGTTTTTTTTATTTATACATTTTTCTTTTTTGCAATTATTTGCATTTTCACGCAACTTACTTAATGTCCGACATTTTGACTGCGGGACCACCACCAACACCACCACAAAGGCAGAGAGGAGGCAGCGGCAGCTGTTGTCACTCAGCGGCAGCGCAACTAAAGCGCGTGTGTGTGTATGTGTGTGTGTGAGTGAGAGGGTGAGTGGTTGTGTGCGTGTGCGCGTTATGTGGATAAAGTAGAACAACGTTTGTCTACTTTACGTAGGCCGATTATAACATGTTTGTTTCTTGAGTTCGCACTTTTACTTAACATACGCATAAACACACTGCACGTTAACAATTATAAATCAAATATATCGCACGTAAAATTAACTGAAAACGCTGCGCTGCCAGCGTTTTCCACACGCAGTTTTTTTTTTTAATTTTCAGTACTTTAGTAACACTGCTCAACACTGAGTTTGCGTTGCAGTGATGCCAGATCAATAACTTAAACCCACTGTTGATTCTCGGTCTCGCGTTCATATCGATACATCGATAAGAAATGCGCTTGTCAAACAAGTCGATGTTTCGATGAGTTCCTTACATGACTACATAGTTCCAATTGGCACACGGTACACAATGTCGAGCGCCAGCAGCTGTGCGCATTAATTAGAAAAATAAATAATCGTTTCGTGCGAAAAAATTTGACAAAATTTTTAAGTAAATCGATCCGGATGTGTGGCGTAGTCATAAAACTGGATATGAGCGTCGCGATAAACGCAATTAGCTAAACTGTCTCGCCTCGAGTGGTTTCAAATCCAACTAAAAGCGGAGAGCACACAAAAAAATTACAAAAAAAAAATATAATAAAAAAAAAATTATAAAAATTTTTTGTGTTGCAGTTAGGCAAGTTACGACAAGAAACACGGACACATACACACAAGCACACACACAACTATATAAATAAATTATTTCGGCTATTTTATAAATTTTTTTTATTCATGAGCAAGTGCATTAAAACACACACAAACAAACATACCACGCACACACACACACACACACGCGCCACTGATAAATTGCAAAGCAACAATAAACAAGAACATATAAAAGTCCAATTAGACCAACAAAACAAACACCAATACGAAACGAGTCAGTGAAATGCAAATTGAAAATGAATGACGACCAAATTGCGAATGCCAAAAATGCGCACGCCACAATCGAACAGCTGACTAATCGGGCGCCAACGCCGACGCCGACGCCAACGTCAACGCCAGCAGCACTGCAGCCTGTTGCTGCCGCCGACGCCGCCATTATGGCCAGCGTGCGTTTACCCATTGTGGGCATGACCTGCCAGTCGTGCGTGCGCAACATTGAAGCGCACATAGGAAAGCAGCCAGGCGTGATTAAGGCGCGTGTCCAGCTGTCGGAGAAGGCCGGCTACTTTGACTATTTGCCCGGCCAGATGGATGCCGCACGCATTGCCAGCCTGATCGATGAGATGGGCTTCGAGTGCAGCTATCAGCCGGATGTTAGTCCGGCCAGGGCTAGCGCCAATTTGCGCATCCTGGGCATGACGTGTCAGTCGTGTGTGCGCAACATTGAGGGTCATGTGTCCAGCAAGCCGGGCGTGCAGCACATCCAGGTGCAGCTGGCCGAGAAGAGTGCACGCGTCCAATACGATCCCGATCAGCTGACGGCCGCGAGCATTGCTGAAATTATTGATGACATGGGCTTTGAGGCGAGCGTGGCCAATGAACTGTCGCCCACGCCCACGCCTACGCCCACGCCCAAGCGTACGGGCACGCCAAAGCATTCACCTGGCAAGCAACAGCTAACGGGCACAACAACAAATGGTGCTGCCACATTGGTGCCCGTGGAGCAGGAGCTGCTCACGAAATGCTTCCTCCATATACGCGGCATGACCTGCGCCAGCTGTGTGGCGGCCATTGAGAAGCACTGCAGAAAGATCTATGGCCTGGACAGCATATTGGTGGCATTGCTCGCCGCCAAGGCGGAGGTCAAGTACAATGCGAATGTTCTCACCGCCGAGAATATTGCCAAATCAATAACCGAGCTCGGTTTTCCCACGGAGCTCATCGATGAGCCCGATAACGGTGAGGCCGAGGTGGAGCTGGAAATATCGGGCATGACCTGTGCCTCCTGTGTCAACAAGATCGAGAGTCACGTGCTCAAGCTGCGCGGCGTAACGGCCGCTTCGGTGACGCTGCTAACAAAGCGCGGTAAGTCTGCAGCTGACAATATATATCAATATACTTATGCATGAATGCTGACTGACTGGTAGATACCCTGTAACTAAATGGAAGAGATTTTCAATTCGATGTCTTGTTTTAGTTGTAGAAAAGGATACAAGTTCAAAAAGCGTTTGATTTTATTTTCGCTCACGGAACCAGTTCCAGGCAAGGTCTTACTTCGAATTGCGATTGACTAGAAGATACCCTGTAACTAAATGGAAGAGGTTATCAATTCGATGTCTCGTTTTAGTTGTAGAAAAGGACACAAGTTCAAAAAGCGTTTGATTTTATTCTCGCTCACGCGACCAGTTCCAGGCAAGGTCTTACTTCGAATTGCGATTGACTAGAAGATACCCTGTAACTAAATGGAAGAGGTTATCAATTCGATGTCTCGTTTTAGTTGTAGAAAAGGACACAAGTTCAAAAAGCGTTTGATTTTATTCTCGCTCACGCGACCAGTTCCAGGCAAGGTCTTACTTCGAATTGCGATTGACTAGAAGATACCCTGTAACTAAATGGAAGAGGTTATCAATTCGATGTCTCGTTTTAGTTGTAGAAAAGGACACAAAGCGTTTGATTTAATTCTCGCTCACGGAACTAGTTCGAATTGCATCCGTCCGTTCTGCTCGGTTCATTGAACTATTTTCAGGCTTGCATATGCCTTCCTTTCCAGTTCCAAGCATAAAAATTGCTCTCTTGATTAAAACACGCGATTTATTTGCTAAACGTTTTGCTTTTGACACATAAAATGACGGTCAAAGACCTTTAAAATCGACATTACGACTTTTATTTTGCTGCCAGTGTTGCATAATTACTTGACAATTTCATATGCTCGCACTTTCAACATGCTTTAAATCAATATTTCCAACTCAATTTGAAACAATAGCACCTGCGCACCTGTGCACCTGCATCATATGCCCCACACGGGCACGTCTGCTGCTCCCCATGGCGTAATACTATATATGCCATGCACCTGTTGCTCGTATTGTTGACATCACGTGCCCATTTCGTCAAATCAAATTCAGGATTCTATGCCATTGTTTACTTTATATATATATATGGGAAGTTATAGCATAAAGAGAACATTATATGCTTGATAAGAAACAACCCGCGCAGGAAACAACGAAGAATTATAACAAAAATGACAAATATGACAAATATGTGATTAAATGCGAGTGTACTTGCTTAATTCTTATATGTTTGTACATAGAGTCACAAATGGGGCTAGCAGACTTTTCAAAATTGTTCCTCAAATGTAGAAATCTATAATTGTATTGCATTTATCATATAGGCCTTCCGAATTCTACTCGATTCTTCTTCTTTTCTCAAATGCAACTGTGCCTATATATACATACATATGTAGATTGGGTATATCACAAGGTCCATGTAGTTGGTAGCTTCAAATTGAAACTAGTCAAACATTGCAAGTCTCAAGTCTTACAATGCAACAAAGATAAGATAAAAACAAAAAAAAAAAACAATTCTCCTTGTAGAGTCGAAGCTAAAATACTCTTGCACACACAGAACTTCACATCCTACGGCAGCTATAATATATAATACGTCGATCCGATCTAGTTCAAATTTGAACAAAATGAATTTTCATTTTGCGGCCATCATCATCGGGAATCAAACAATACAGTTAATCACAATGATAATAATAATAATAATAATAATAATCGAAACAATGCCCAGATACCCAATGCTGCCTGTACTATATTCATTTAAAGGGAATGCCAGTTCTTATGAACTGTTTGCATTTTACTAAACAAATATGTACATACTGGCTTTTAAGTGCTGCACAATGAGAATGCCTCTTACATGTTCAATTTCACATTTCTACAGAAACGTTGTGATAAGCAGGGTGTGGGGTTGGGGGTGGGCGGTGCAGTTAAAGTTTTAGGCACAGCCCGTTATATTTAGGAGTCATCGAAAGCCTAAAGAGTTGAATCATTTAACAACAATGCACTCTACGCACATGTGCATGTATGTGTACTTTATATGATCACAGGCACGCATGCCCATATGCATGTTGATATGTACATGCATATGTGCATACATGTATGCATGCATGTACATATCTTACAATCGAGGGCGCATTTGTTTTCTGTGCTCTCGATTGGATTGTTGCCTTACAGATACATACATAAGCAGCTACGGATACGAATAGCTTTAGATGGAAAAAATACATATACATACATATATACACAGATATACAGACAGGCACACATACACATCTAAACTTGTAGCAACAGCTACATACATACATACAATTGCAACGGTTTTCGTGGCCTTTTCTCCAATAAACGGTTTCTAAAGCCTTCAGTAAAAAGTTTGGAGTCATCATTTTTCATTTATTCATCCGTTTTGATCTGAAAGTAAAAGAGTCTCGCCCTCTCCTGCCCGCCCTATCGCGCTGTCTCCCTTCCACTCGTGCACATGCAGCATGTGTGCGTGTGTGTGTGTGCCTCTCGTCTTTTCGTTTCTTTTGCTTTGTTTTGTTTTGGTTTATTTTTGTTTGCTGCTCTTTAGCTGTTTTATTCGCTGCGCATGCGCAACGTTCACGTTCACATTCACCTTCATTTCGTTGTGTTTCGCAGATTTGCGCTTTTGCTTTCTGGTAGATAAAAGCGAGCGATACACATGTATTAAGTTATGCAAGAGCAGGCTCTCTGTTAGAGGTGGGCGCGTGCCGTGTTTCCTTTGCGCTTACGTGTTAGGCACGAATAATAAGAAAGTTCTAAAAAAAAATAAATAAATATATTAATAAATATGTCGTGAATTTTGTTTGTTTTTCATTTGACATTTTGCCAGAAAGTATATTAACTTAATTATGACATTAAGTTAATTGTATTGCGAACCTAATTTGGAACATCAATATTGAATAGTCGAAATCTTAGTCTGATTAATGATAAGCTTCAATTTTTCATATGAAACACCAAACATTCGTGGACATCAAGACTTCAAGACTTATATAATTAAAGCAAAACTTAAGAACTTTAGACTCAAAGCAACAAATGCATTTTAGTGTATAGACCGATTCGTATTTGTTGACATTTCTTATCTCTCGAACTTTTTATTCAAGCGAACATATTACTAGTTGTTATTTATAAAAATATAATATGCATATATAATATAACCTTATCAAGCATATTGACTTTAAAAAGGATTCAA